CAGTTTTATTTAAGAAAGGACTTGTGTCGCTAAAGTTTAGTCGGAAAAATTTACAGAAAAATTAACTAACGACTGCAGGCGTAACAATATGTACAGTTTGTACATTATGAAAGAATCAAAGTCGTCATATTTATATGCCATACACATCACAGTATCTTGAATCAGAATTTTGTTTGTAAAAACCCAAATTATGCCTGCTATGTTTGTTAATTAGCTGTTCATTTACAACAGTTATATTTAAAGCAACTATCTTTAATGTGAACCTTTTTCTATCTTTTGTCGACAGATGAAAAAAAAATCAAAATGAATGTTTAAAAAAGGATTGAGTACGTTTCTGTCACATGTCATTCGTTTTAAGTTTACTCATATTATTATTATTTTGATGAAATAACATATTTGGACATTTCCTGCATTTACAAGTAACTATTAGTTTAGAAAACACCTTCTTTAAGATATCAGTATATGTGTGTGTGTGTGTATATGTAAATAAATAAATAAATATATATATGTGAGTGTGTGTGTATATATATATATATCTGTGTGTGTGTATATAAATATATATATATATATTGATATATCCCAGTGGATCAGTAGTAAGCTAATGGATTTACAACGCTAAAATCTGCGGTTTGATTCCTCATAGTGGACAGAGTGCAGATAGCTTACTGTGTGGACCTGGAAAGGTCTGATGGTTAGGGCACTCGATTCGCATTTGGAGGTCTCGGGTTCGAATCCCTGTCACTGAACATACTTACCATTTCAGCAATGGCGGCGTTATAATGTGATGGCCAATCCCACTATTCGTTGGTAAAAGAGTAGTCCAAGAGTTGGCATTGGGTGGTATTGACTAGCTTCATTCCGTCTAATCTATCACTGCTAAATTAGGGACAGCTAGTGCAGATAACCCTTGTGTAACTTTGTACGAAATTCACAACAAACCAAACAAAGCCTATTATGTAGCTTTGCGCTAAAACAAACAAACAAATGATTTTTAATCAATTGGCTAAAAGTGTACGTCCTAGGATTGCAACGGACTAATAACTACTGGGGAAGCCCAAGAAGAAGTGGAGAGTTTAATTAACTCATAACAGAGCATTTAATTCACTTGATCATGTAGCACTTGTAATTTAGTGGGAGAATAAAGATGAGTAAAGATGGTAAACAATTTAAACAACTTGTATTAAAACATACAGATTATTTTTAACATTAAGCCTGGCCTCACAGATGTATTTGAACATAATATTGTAAACGCGTGCGAAAAGTCAGTGTTTAGTAAAACGTATTGTTGCGTCAGCGAGTCACATGACCACGTGACGCAACGTTTCTAGAATTATCATGTACTTTGGCGAATGCTCTAGTATTTACTAGTAGGTTAGGCTGGTATATATATAAAGGAGGGGAATGTGAGGTGGGTAGATAGATAGTGAGTAATTGATCTGCGGTCGGAGTATTATTGACGTTCGTTGCTATTGTTCAGTGTATCGGTTAAGTTATATTCGGAAAGAATAAACCAGTTTTATTAAGTAAAGACTTGTGTCGTTAAATTTTCGTTGAAACGAAGTTACGGAAAATTAATTAACACACGGAGACGTAACAGTTTTAAATGTGAACACTGTATGTCGGATATACAAGACTGTTTAGTGAGAATTTTATTTTTTAGTTCATTTAGTTATCTAATATCTAATGATTATTTAGTTCTCATAACAAGAGTGTTAAAGTTAATTATTTTAAAGGCGACAGTTATAACAAATTTCGTTACGTAACTCGATAAGGGTCGAACGTTGTGTGTGTGTGTGTGTGTGTAGTTCAATTGGTGATGTCATCTTTCTGAAACCTCTACGTTTTTCTCGCTATGTGAGTATTGCTACATCATAGCGTCTTTTAGTTTGTAGAAATTTCTTGGCCTCAGTTGGAAAATATATAAATATAGGAGAACAATTGAGTTCAAATCAAACAAAGTTCAGTCAGAAAAAACACACTAGAAAACGTGAAGTTAGATGGCGTGTGAGTGATTAGCCTTAACGGGTGATTTCTATAGCGAGTTTCACAGCTGTATTGTAACAACAAAGATATTGTTACGTCTCCGTTCGTTAGTTAATTTTCCGTAAATTCGTTCCGACGAAACTTTAGCGAC